AACAACTACTTTTACTGAATCCAAGTTCATCTAAATCAAAATCCTTTAACACTCCATCTATTTATTATTCTGTTATATAACCTTCATGAAGGTAGGATTTATTGAAGGACTGTTGTGTTAGACTGCATCAGTTTTAGCTAGGAGTATGTAATAAACTGGGTGTAAGTTTGTGATATGGAGCCAGAATGAGTTTGAGAGTGCTGTGCAATAGAAGAAGAGGCATTACATTACATTTGGATACAAGTACAACTTCCCTACACACATCAGGAGCAGTTTGGATCCTTGAACATGCAGACAGAAGGAGCTGGTGATTGAAAACCCAACCAAACATGCTCTAACAGCTGAGCCTCAGCTGGCCATTGAAATGGACACACAACATGAACAGAACTGAGTTAGATTGGTCTTTATCTCTGGCCTGTATGTTTTAATCAAAACTATAATTATAATTTGTACATTCTGAGCGTTTTTCATCAAACTAAGATCCAGCTCTGTGTCCAGGAGCCCAGCATCCCTTTCCTTTGAAAACATCTAAACATTTTCATGAGCCCAGTTTTAGCAGTGCATATTTCAGGCAATTAAATTGTTTTTTTAAATGGTTTATTTAGCTTAAATTAATTTTCTCAAACCATAATGGGAAATTCCAATCCTTCAGGAACATTTACAGTAATGATATAATTTGATTCTTATTCCTAGCTGCTAAGGAGTCTGTAAAACAAGCCCCAACCCACTCAAGTCTAGACAAAACATGTATGAGAAGAAGGACCCCCAGTGATAGGACATTACAGATGCGATGGTGTTTCACATCGCCAAAGATATGGTGTCTTTTAAAACCGTAAATCGGATTGTGGTGTGAAAAACTTGGAGATTTTATTTTTGGGCCATATCGTCAAGGCATTCTTTGCAGAGAAATTCCTGCCGTTCCTGATATCACTTTCTGACGCCCGACAACCTTTCTGCATCATCACCACTGCTGGGTCCCTGAGGGCCTGCTGAGAAGCAAAGAAGGATTTATGAGAGGCTGGAAGCAAGTCAAGTGACTTCCTGTGGCAGCGGGACGGCGCTCCAGGCGAGATTCATTATTCACCATCTATTGAGCTTCACCATGAATGGTCCTCATGCACTTACCACATACTATTTAATGACATACACACACAGTCACGCATTGGTTTTACATGACTTCTTTCAGGTATTGTCACACGAAGGAATTCAAGTTCATAAAAAGTCTAAGAATGTGTAGGCACACAAATTCCCTACAGGGTTTCCTCTTGCCACAGCAGGGCCCCGTGTGTGTGTGTTGTTTAATGTTTTGAGGCCTGTGTTGAATGAGGCGGGTGGACATGGAGGGGTTAAAACGGGTGTGGAGGGGGTAGCGTGAGGAATGTGACACCAAAGGCCAAGAGGGATGATGAGGGACACTTACAGGAATCTCTCAATTTCCCGTCGAGAGCCGTTTAAGAGTCAGAATTATCCCAAAGTGCTGCGTTCACCCTCCTTTAACCTTGGGTTCTTCACTTTCACTGTCCACTCATGGCATAACAATTCACTGAATCACACCTGGTAGGGGTTTGGCTTCATTACAAGCCAAACAAGCTAGTGATCATCATCTTTGTCCTTTATCCTATTTATTACAGACGAAAAGAAAACAGTGCTTCTCCGAGAAAGGTTTGTTTTTAAAAAGAAAGATCTACCAAGCACCGAGCTTAGATATATAAACTGGGGTATAAGAAACATCCCTTTTGTGTCACATCACTTGAAAACACAGACGGTGGATATTTATTTCAATAAAAATGCAATGGTTTATTTCTTTTAGACCGCAGTGTTGCTGTTCTGTCTTTGTGCGTGATTATGGGAGCCCGTGTACACGTGCTTTGGGTTTTATGCCACACAGGCATGAAATGCAGTTTAAGAAGGCTTCTGATGAGGGGCAGCAGAGAAATCCTCCTGCATTCATGCTGGGCTGCAGACGTGAGCAGAATACTGAGGGACTGGAAAGACGAGCTGGATGCTCTGAGGAATGCTGAGGCCTTGCCAAGCTAACAGCACAGCTCCGACTGCCACTCGGAAGAGCGGGGACTAACGCTTTAAACAGCAAAGTGTCTGGCTTAAAGCCTGCAGAAAAGACAGCTTCACCTGCAACATGTTGTTTACACTGGCTTTAATACCATTCTCGCACCAAATCAGTGCATTTATAGGGCTATTGTGGGGGCCGAATTGCCAACACAAATGAAATGAAATAAGAATACATTAGAGTAATGAGCTGTCAATCCTAATTTGATCCCTATTCTGTAGAATAAATGGTTTTTGTGCTCTTTTCAGGGCAACACCTGAGGTCCCGGATCGCAGAGCAAATCTCTAAAGCATGCCGTAATTTAAAGAAAAGTATTTTTTTAACACTTACCTCGGCTGCCATTCTCTTCATCCTACAAGAAAAAAAGAAAGTGAATGTCAGATGATTTGTGATTAAATTTCCTTGAAGTATTTCCCGTTTTGGGGAATTCTTTTTTTTTCTGCTGCTTCAGTATATTCATACTGAAGGTAGACAGTTACCTTGAATATACCATGTAAACATGAGTTGAAAGACTGTTTTACATCATTACTCTTCTTATTCCCAAACCGTCCTAATTCTACGAATCCCATCGATTACTTGATCAAATAACAACAAGTTTCACAATCTATTAATCAAGAAAAGAAATGCTAACTATTTTGCTTCAGGGTTCTGAAATTTGACAATTTGGAACTTTTTTCGTTTTATATCACTGTAAATTTAAAATACTTGGGTTTTCATCCAGTGGTCAGACAAAAAACTTAATAATTCTTTACTCCATCAAAAACCGAACAAGAAAGGCCGTCCTAACAAAGTTACAACAAATAACAAAAGAGAAAAGAAAGAAAGAAATAGGCATTGCCAAATTCAGGCCAACAGCAATGTGGTAAATATAAGAGTAACGACAAGCAGCTCCCCCTCAGGCTTTACAAAAGGCTTTAAAGTGAATTTCTGGCTCATAAATTCCTTGTTTTGGTTCACTCTGGACACAGTTAGTGAACACAGTGGTGAAATGGTGAACACACTGGAGCATTTAGCAGCTAAAGACAGATATTTCCCTCAGGAGTTGGTGGAGACCAAAAACAGAGAGCGAACATTGAACTTACATTTACACCAGATGGAGACTAACACGACTCTAAATGAATGACAACATTGCTAACAGGTCTGTTAAAAGGTGATGATATGTCAGCGTCGTGTTAAAAACTTGTTTCCACTGCTGCCAAGTGTCCAAAATAATGAACTGTTTAATCAAAACAACAATTAACAGATTAATTGCTAATCAAAAGAATGGTTTTCAGCCCTTGAGGGACTCCCTTAGCACTGAATGAAGGACATGATGTGTGTTCATTACCATTACCACAGCTGTGTAATTAAAACTGTTGTGGCAAAAGACACAGAGGGGACCACACGATCCAGATCGATCTCTGTGACAAAAACAAACACATCACAGCCATGTTTGTGTTTTTTCCATTTCCTTA